AATTCTTCATTTATTTTTTCGTTTATTGTTATTTAGTTCACTAGATACGAAATATCAGAAAATTTCATGAAACTATTTTTCTGCGATTAAGAAATATAAAAATATATAAATTTAATTTTTTCACCGTTAAGTAAATTTTTTCAGGAAGAATATTTTAGTTTTATCAGCAAAAAAAAAAAAATATATATATATATACTTTATTCGAACTGTGAAAGCTCTCTTATATATTATGACCGGGGAAATTTTCGTTGCATTTAAACCAGGGGGTTTCTTCATGCGACAGCAAGTAAATTTACTTGCGCTCTCGTGAGACCATAAGATAAGAAAAACCGCGAGAATCGTTGCGATAGTGCAAACGTTGAAAACGAATAAGGATTTGGCTCAAGGAGATCCACAATCGGAATTTTATGCCATGCGTGACGTTACCGCATTAACTCGTAAATCGCGTACACGTTCAAGATGAAACTCTCATCTCCTCGTCTTTGAGTGTCATTTTCAGAAATCTTCTCAAAATGACTTCTCTCTGTTACTCTCTCTTTTTCTTTTCTTTTTCTCACGAAAATGTGAAAAAAAATTCAAAAAAGGAAACTATTTTTCAAAATTGAGTAAATTAAAAACTAAAGTTTCTAAATTTTCTACTAAATAAAAATAAATTTTCTTTTTTTCAGTGTATATGATTAGAGCAAACAAGCTTAATCTACTTATATTGAAAAAAAAAAAAAAAAAAATGTTCACTTATCGAAACTTTTTTATTTGGCTGAAAAAGAAGAAGAGAGTTTTTTTCCTCGCCTTCATATTTTACGTAAAGCTTTCTTCAAAAGGACGTAGTTGCGAATGCCTCAATAATCGTTAAAAGTTTATAAATGAAGGAAATATACTTAGGAAGCATTATGTATGCGCCACTCGATACTAGTCAATTTCTTTTCGCTCGAAAGCTCATTATTAAGTTCCTGATGCCGTTTAGAGTCACGGAGTAATTTAGAGTCAAGACCCTCGCTTGTGTACCGAGTTCTCTGCTTCGGGAATTTATTACTTGGGAACTTTTTTTTTTTAACACGAATAGTTCAATACTTGTTTCTTAGAGAGGGTTTTGCCATACCGCAAGTTGTATTATACAAACACATGTGTGGCACTCTCAGTACAGTTTATGGACACTACTCTATATGCTAAAACCCTTTATGCACACGTTTATGCCATGTACAACTATACGTATATTGCCATATTAAACCTGACACATGAAAACAGTTCATCGAACTGTAACCAACGGATATTACTGATTTAGGGACTGTATAGAGTGTCTAACTTGTCCCATATGTGTCTCAATTAGGCATACAGGTTTCCAAGTCGAACATCATATTGCCTAGGAAACTCATCATTTTCGTCCTTCACTCACTTACTCGTAGCAATTACGATTTGCAATTTTTCGTTTCATCACAAAAGGAAATTGTCCATTTGCTCAATTTCAACTGCACAACTGTTACGCGGACAAACTTGTAATTTGCATGTTTTTACATTTTCCTCACTTCCATTAGGTATACTGTATATTGCAAATAAAAAAAAAGAATAGTGACGGTTTATTCACGGAAAAGCGTGCTTTATTAGTTTTTCTTTAATTGTGTCACGCGGGTTTAGAAAACGTGACGAAAAAGTAAATATACTTCCCCGAAATATAAAATAAAACATATATTTATATATTTTATTTAATTTTTTCCGATCCTTATTGTTAGTACAATGTATATGAATTACAGGTTTTTTTTAAATCAAATTCAAATTCGACACAGAAAATTAAAAGGTATTAAAATAAGCTGCAACGCTTATTATTTTAATCAAATTTTGCTTATTTTAATCCATTTTGGTATTAAAATCAGCAAAATTGGATTAAAATAATAAGCGTTGCAGCTTATTTTAATGTCTTTTAATTTTCTGTGGAATTTTTGTGATTATTTGATCTTTTGGTAATTCGTACTTTTAATAATTTGAAATTTCAGAAACACAATCAATCTTTTTCAAATTTTCAAAATTCAAAATGTCGGATCCAATATGGAAGACAATTTTTTTTTAAATTAATCAAATCCGCTCGAAACTGGTTACTCGAGGATTTTCGGTGTCGCTAATTACGAATCCAATGTCAGTTTTTTAAAATTCAAAAAGGCGGATCCAAAATGGCTAACAAATTAATTACCTGAAGTTTATCACGCGGCTCAATTATTTGTTATCTTATGTTGTATCTGCCATTTTGAATTTTGAAAATCTAACGTCATATTCGTAATCAGCGACCCCAAAAAACCCCGAGTAACAAGTTTCAAGAAAATCCGACCAATTTTTAATTTTGTCATCCGCCATATTGGACCCGCCATTTTGAACTTTCAAAATCAGATACCAGCACAAAGTACAAAAATTTTTTTTTTTTAATTAACCCAAAATTTTGTTACACAAATTTTACATCAAATTGTTTACTGTTATATCTGAATATTTTGTACCTTTTTTACCAATCTTAATTTGAAATTTTAATTAGTTAAAAACTTTTAATTTTTCTGTATGTTCAAAATGAGTAATTAAAAAACTGATTTATTTGTCTTAAAATTAAATTTATTCCTTTCTACATTTAATGTACAAATTTATTATATTAACTTGAAGTCTGTGGTTGAATGATTAATATGTTTCTTTAAAAGATAATTTTATTCTTGAATTATTAACCTGAAAAAATTAAAATGAATAATAAATGGTGTTTCAATAATTGCGTCAATCTATTAAATATACATACGTGTATAATATAATTAATATATTATTATTGATAACCATTAAATAATATTATTCTTTTTCAATATTAGAACATTTCTTCAATTAAGAAAATTTATTATTGATTTTATATAAATAAAATTTGAAGATTTCAAAAAATTGAAAATCAAATATCAACAAATCACGTCGGTGAAGTTTACAACATTTACGATCAACGATTTAGAAAAAGAAATTTTCTTTCTGTGCAAATTTTTATATATTTTTTTTGTCTAAAAAAAATTTTTGCAACGTTTTTGGATCAAGAATTTTTAAAATAAAACTTTGTAGAGACAAGAAATTAATTATTATTTTCCAAATGAAAAATATTTTTTTTTCCATCCGTTTATCATAAACGTTGTGAAGTTCACCGGCGTAACAAATCTTGGTTGCTAAAGGAAATTATTTAGTTTGAATAAAGAACAGGATTCGACATCACTCGTTTGGCAGCATCCGGACAGGAAATATCAATTAGATTCTTTTTTTGAAAGTTAATTTTATGTAAATTCAATTTCCCTTCAAAATGTAATATTTAGTTATCATTTAGTGTACTTATAATATTGAATAGTGAATTTAAAGGATAATTGATCATTTAAACAGATAATTTTACTTAATTTGATTGTGAATATTCAGATGAGACTAATATTGATTTTAAAGGAAAATCTTTGAATTTAACAATATTTATAATTTTCAGCTATTGCAGACTAAAACTGAATTAGTCAAAAATATGATTATTTTTAAATTAATCTAAATTTAATTTTTATTTTTACATGTGAAAAAAATTTGGCTCTGTAACTTAGTTGAATAAAGGATCTTTATAATAATGTTTTATCTCTGAAAAAAAAAATAATATTAGGTCACAATCTGGTATTGAAAACCCGCCCCTTAAACTTAAGTCAATATTGTCACGAGTTATATATTCACATTGTCAGCATTTCGCGTTCGTCGATAATTTTCTGAAAAGGGAGATAGGGACCAGTAGTTTGGTGTTTCACGCACACACACACATATAAATATGTATAGGAGAGTGCAGGGACAGGTTATTCCGGGCGCTCAATTATCTCCACACAATGACTCGATCGTATTGGCAAGACACAGTTTTCCGGCACCTACACGAGTTTAGACTAGCATCGTCGTTTGACTGATGATAGAACCGTCTACTTCGTTGCCAGAACAAGGTTATATATATTTTTTTTCTTTTTTTTTCTGTGCATGAGAGAGCACGCACCTACGCCTTTTTTCTGATTCATTTATCTCTGATTTTTACCGCATTTTTCATTGAATAGCAGAAATATTCACACATTACGTAATTCATGAAGTTCATATAACTCCACATGTGTTTATATAATCATATTCACCGCAGTTCATTCTACTTTATAATGTGTAAACATTTTTCTGTCTTGAGATTGATAAACCGGAAACAGTTTTTTTTCCTCGATTTTTGACTGTTGATTTAGAAAAAAATAATCTTCTTTATTTTTTTACTAGTCTTAGATTTTTATATTTCTAATTTATTGATTATTAATTTTTAGTAACTCGTTGAAGGATTTTTTATTATTTTATTCTTTCACAATGATTTAATATATTATTATTATTATTAAATACTATCAATTAATTTATGTTTTCTGCTTTAATGAAAAAAATTTTTGCTAGAATCATAAGTGTTCGATTCTTTAATTATAATATATAAAAACAACTCAAAATTTCGATGTACACCTACTTTAATACTTGAAAATAATTCAAAATATTTCTCTAAACGATACTTCAAATAATTCAGAATAGTTGAAGATAATTCAAAATACTTGAAATACTTCAAGATATTTCAAATAATTAAGAATACTTTAATTAAAAAAGAATATATTAAACAAAAGTAAAAATCCATTATATATAATTTGCACCATATCGAAGCGGAATATTATAACAATAGACTTTTCTCGATGAATTCTTCATTTTATATAAAAAGAATGTTTAATTAAATCTTCGTTAAACTGTCAATTATAGATGGAATTTTAGCGCTTTATATAATTTATAAAATTATATTGGCAATAAATAATATTTATAAATTTTTACAAAAAAAAGTCTGTCTGTCATCTGAAAATAAACTGTCGACAGTTAATTTATGACTTATATGCTATTAAATTATTGTTATTATTAGCGTCCAAATATGAATATAAAAATCAAGCTTTTTATGAGCTGCGAAGTGGAAGGGCAAATACATACTCAAGTTACGTAGATGGTAATTTTGTAATTCAGTGGTTTGACATAATATGTGGCTCAGCTTGGATGTTAAAGATAGACATCACTTCATCTCTTAGAGAAAAATAATAATCTGTTCTGTTATGATCACAGATCTTAATGCATGTAAATTTGTTCTTTTAATATTATACACCATTAGAGACAAGTTCTAATTGAATCTCAATTTAATTCTTATTTTATGTTAAATTAATATTTTTTTCTTCCTTAAATGATAATTTTCTTCAAATTAAGATGAATTCCATCTATTGCCGATGTTAATACTGCTTTTGGATTTAGTTTTATTGGAACTGATGTCTTTTTATTAATAGAAAGTTCATATTTTGAAATAATATGAATGATTCCTAATTTAGATTGCAATAAACCAAGACGTTGACCTGTAGAAAAATAATAATGAATATTTTAACATTTTACATATATAATTTGAATGCAAATAAAAACCACAAATATGAATTTTTGTTTTACAATTTGGTGAAAATTTTCTTATTTACCAATACATATGTGTGGACCTTCTCCAAATGGCATATAGACACAGGGTATTAGAGATTTTTTATTTTCTTCAGAAAATCGTTCAGGATCAAAAACATCGGGATTTGGAAAATATTGTGGATCCCCATGAAGACCAAGCATTGGTATTATTATTGCCGTTCCTTTTTCAATGAGTAAATTTGTTTCGGGTATATTATAATTTTTTTGAGCAACTCTATCAAGATACGGTAAAACTGGATACATTCTCAATATTTCCGATACCACCATATCCAAATATGGTAGAGTCATTACCTAAAGAATTAAAAAATTAAAATTATAGTTAAAATTTTTACCTGAAATGATAAATATTTTTAAGATTCAATTGTTAGGGTTTTTTTTTTTTTTTTTATAAATATAGTCAATACCATTTCATATGTTATTTTCCCATCATTGGCTTGTATAGCTTCATTAATTTCAAATCTTAATTTATTTTGCACTTCAATATTAATAGCCAATTCATAAAAAGTAAAGGACATTGTTGTTGATGATGTTTCAAATCCACCGGTAAAGAAAATAGCAGCCTGAGCTACTAAATTGTCACCATCAAATTCTGCAATTAACATTATATTATTATTATTATTATGAAAATCATTATCAATATTTAATCATAAATTATTTCATTAAACTTAAATTCTTTTATAGTTTTTTATAAAAATTATTTGGTTTGTTTGAAATAAATTTTTAGAAGTGTTTTTTTTTTAAATTTTGGATCAGATTAAAAATAAGAGTTTATCTCTTTAAAAAATCGTACTTACTAAAACCATTATTTTGTACCGGATCATTCTCTTGGCTTTTTTTTAATTCAATAAGAAGATCGATGAGATCATTTCTCTTTACTCCAGATTTCATACGTTCATTAATTGTATCCCAAAAAGCGTCTCTCAAAAATTTGGTACTTTCTTTTGAGAAAAATTGAGAACCCAAGATATCAACTAAACCTGGTATCAAAAATATTGTTGTTAATTCAATGGAACGTTTAAAACTAAATGAGAAAATTTCTCGTCCATGTTTACGAAATTCAGCATCTGGATTGTTTAGGGAATTCACTTTTAATCCATAAGCCGTTGTCCCAATCATATCGGTGGTGAATTTAGCGCACACTTCTTTTATTTCCAATGTACAAAGATTTTCTGATATAATAATAAAAACATCGATTAATTATTATGATATTAATTTTAATACTTCAGTGTTTTCTGATTTAATAATTATTATATTCATTCTATATATACGTCACCTTTTGAAAATTGTGATTCCAAATATACATCAAGATCCTTTCCAACTTCTTGCATAAGTACAAACATTTTTTTTAAATGTCCCGTTGTAAAAATTGGCGTCAATTTTGCTCGCATTTTTTTCCAATCGGGATTTTGTATCATAAGAAGATTTGATTTGCCCATTGAATCATTATTAGCTGCTCGCGCGTATCTATCACAAAAATAATTAAAATCCTTTATTAAAATACGTTTAATTATTCCTGGATCACGAATCAATAATGCGGGTTTATCCATTAAATATAATCCAACATATGGAAGTCCTTTTGTCTCATGATAAAGTTGTTTAAAAAATATTCCAGGTGAAATTTTCATCAGTAAACAATTGCCCAAATTTCCCACAAATGCTCTAGGCTTTATTTCTTCAACACCTTTTTTCGTCCAATGTTTAAAATTTCGTGTCATATATAAATAAGCTATTGCAATTGTCGTAACAATAAATGCAATTAAGGGAATCCACATTTTTGATAAATATTATTATAATGAATGCAATTAACTATTGAATTTTTCAAATTTATATGTAATTAATTTATTTGATTTGTTTATTTTATTTATTTTTTTTAATTATTAAGTAATAATATTAGTATATTAATTTTCTACACTTGTTTTTTGTACAATGACTAAAGGAAAACTGAATTCATAAATATGAATTTACTTAAATTTATACTAATTGTAAAAAAAAATTTGTTCGCATGATAACGTGCTTTATGCTTACATTTATTCAAGAAAAATATAAATCTTGCTCACTCATATGATGATGATGTTTACTTATATTTAAGTGTACATAATTAAATGTAACAATTACTTGGCAAAAGTGCTAATAGTGATAAATAAACTTCCACAACAATTCATTTTTATTAATTATACTTTTTTTTATTTTATTATTTATTTTTATTGTTAAAAAAATTATAAATCACAACTGTGAAAACAAAAAAAAATTAGTTATATAAAAAATGATATGCAAAATACAACATTATTTGCATTAAATTTTGTTTTAAAAATTATTTTTTTTACGAAACTTTATTAATGTATATTAAATTATTTTTCTTGTATCTAATATAAAAAATATGAAATGAATCAATATTCTCATAAAATTAAAAATATTACGTCGGTGAAGTTCACAATGTTTATTATCAACGATTGAGAAGAAAAAATATTTTCCTATGTAAATTATTATTATTTTTGATCTACAAAATTTTTTGCAACGTTTCTTGATCAACAATTATTTGAAAAAAATTTTTTTGAATCGTTGATCATAAACGTTGTAAACTTCACTGACGTAAAATATTACCCTTTCAATTAATAAATTTTTAATTGAAAAATATGAAAAGTAACACAAAAACATTAATAAAAATAAAAATATTAATTATTATAAATTAATAAAAAATGTTGATAGAAGTAATGAAATTATATTTATCTTTTAGTAGTTATCGCCAACTAATCATTATGTAATCATTATTATTATCAGATACATATATAAATGACTTAAGATTTCTCGAAACCTATGACCTGTCTTTAACAAAATTTCAGCTGATTGTGAAAGGGCAAAAAAAAATTTATATCGATTTTTTACTGTTTGTCTATTATTAATTAATTATATTTCTTATTAATATCTAAATTAATTAAAAATCCGTTCTGTTAGGCTGTCTATCACTTTAGGTATAGTTTTTCTTCTTATGGCTCTATTGGATTACACTTAAAAAAAAAATAATTTCAATGAAAATATTATAAAATGCTCAAGCAGAAAAAATTATTTTTTATCTGAATCATAACCTTCAATTTAAAAAAAATGTATTAGTTAACCCTAATATTTAAAATATTTTGCAAAAACTTCATGTATACTTTTTGTAATAAATTTATTATTTTGTAAGAAGTAAGAGCTTACCCATTTGTATATTAAAACTGATGAATTTTTTTTAATGCTTGTTTTATTGTAATTTATTGTAGAAATTATTAATTCATTGATAATAGCAATTATCATTGTAAAAGACTTGATAATTTTCATAATTTATTCAATATTCCTGAAATTTGTTACAACCAACCCCCAACTCCTCTATATAACAATTAGTGAATCTTTTACAAGGGTTTCTAAATATTTTTCTCTACTGATAATTTGCAACTTAAATCTGTAATATGCAATGCGAGTATAATATAATTAATATATTTTCAAAATATGATTCAAAATTCAGAAATTCCAGAGCAGTATAAGAGTGAGATAACTATATATATATATATATATATATGTATATAAACGGAAATAGGTTAGTTGCGTACTTGAAGTGCATGACATGAGTGGACCCCAAGCCATTGCACTTTGGGTACAAATTACCGTTCAAGCAATTTCGAAACTTCAATTTCGGAGTCACAGAAGCTGCATTCCGTTGCGTCTCATGGAGGATCGAAGAGAAACTAACTCCCTCAATTTCTAAGGTATACTATGTGTGTGTACCGACCATCGCGTAAAGTTAGTTTCCTGGTGATTTCAAATTTTGTATAGCCTCCTCTCCCTCCTTGGCCACATAACGTTGGTATTTCCCAACTATATATAGCCACGACGAACCATTTTCGCATGGATGGGTCATCTAAAAGTGTTCTTTCCACTGCAATTTTCGTTGGTATATAGGAGAAAACCCCCCGAGTTCAAACTACGAAAACGAACGATGATCCATAGGGACTTGAAAGAGTTCCAACTTTTCGATCTTGTTCAACAAGCCCCAGACTAGAAAAGTCTTGGGGAAGTCTCTCCTCTTTTCTCGTGTGACACAAGCGCGCAAGAAAAAGAAGCTTCATCTCGTCCGGCAAAAACACTGATAAAAATATACCATAAAAACACCTGGGGTCTGAATTAGTTTCAGTATTCTTTTCTTCTTCTCTAATCTTTTCACAAATTTTCTCCTTGTCTTTCAATTTTTTTGTTTTAAGAATACAATAGTGCCTTAAAAAAATTTTACATGCATAAATTGGTAAAAATGAACAAAGAATAATAATATATAAATATTACTTAAACTTTGGTATACAAAGTAAAAAGTGACGTACTATTGAGACCAAAGAATTTTTTATTTGGTGATTTCTTTTAATTTTAAAAATAAAAATAAAGTGTCCGACTATTGGGACATGGACAATCATACTCTCAGTTACCCTAGCTACAGTAGTCGGACACTTATATTATTTAGTTTATATTATAAAATATAAATTACGGGGGGGGGAGTGGTCGAACTAAGTCTCACCTACCCTATCATATTGACACAAATTTTTTTTGTGAAAATTGTTATATTGTATAACCGATGTGATAACGATATTTTGTAGTAACTATTAAAATCCAAAATGCTATTCAAAAATTACCGAAAATGTTATATTACGATGGGGGTAATCTAAAATATTCAAAAATTTACGATTTTCTTACTTAACTTTGCCTTAAATTAACTGTAAAATTTTCTACGATTTACTGTTCATTGAAGAGGAAAATTCAAGAGCTCTTAAATGAATTCTCCCAACTGCTGAGGGGAAAATTATTCTCATTTTCAGGGAGAATATTCAGCTTCTTTCGAGATAGAAAAATGTTTAAGGATTTGTTAAAAAAAAAGGCGACCTTTATTTTTATATAAAAATAATTTTTTCCCTGAATCCTCATGTTTTTTGAACATGGGCGGAATGTTTGTTTACTACTTTTTTAACTTAAAATTTTATTATAAAATAATGCTTTCTATTTCCAGAAATAAAATAATTACATCTTTTTTTCTTTTTTTTTTTATTGCTTTATGAAATGAAAGTAAAAAGAAAAATTGTGGTAATTTTCTTTATTTCAAAATTTGTACTCACACTTTTAAATTCAGATTTTTATGAACAAGCAAAAAAAGATTATTTTTATTAATCTAATTACCTAAATTAATTAATTTATTTTAATATAATTTTTTTAGCATTTTTTGGTAAAAATAATTTTTTTCATTTTTGTTGCAGGTAAGCACAATTTTCTACTTTATATGTAATAAAACGACGTGGGGTGAGTACAAACAATATTATAATGCATTACTGTATTGAAAAAAATAGTTTATTTAATTCAAATAATTTTTTACTTGATTATTATTAAATAAATATGTATTAAATAATTATTTCAATCAATTAAATTGTATATTTTTTACAGTTTATTTAATTAAAATAAAAATTATTTGGTTCAACTAAATATTTATTTGATAATAATCAAGTAATCGATTATATTTGAATCAAATAAATTACTTTCAGGGTGTAAAAACAAAAGCTCTTTTCAATTTCGATTTTTATTTAGGCGTAAAAGTTCATTTTTTTATCTTAAGAGACCATTCAAGTATTAGGTATGCAAGCATATTTTTTACCCTCTCCCCCTCCTATCTATATTCAATAGTAAACGACGTTCTCAGACAGACGGAACATTTCTTACGTCATATAATTTTACTACCAGTAGTAAAAGTCAGCTTCAGTCAGACTTTAAATTCTTGTAATTTTAGTATAGTAAAAGGCAGTTGCAGTCAGGCAACATTTTCCCAAATTATTGTAAATTTCATATCTCAGTAGTAAAAAAAATTTTTAGTAAGACATATATGTGATGCCCCACGAGAGAAGGGACTTAACGTCAAAAAAATATTAGGTTATGTTTAATGATAGTTTTAACTTGCCAAAAAGTTTCTTTTTCTCTAGGTAAATTCAAGATTAGTTGTTATTACACACAAAAAACAAATACTTGAAAAGTCCAGAGTAACAAGTTTAAAGCAAATACAAACGGTTTTAAATTTTCTTAGACCGCCATATTGGAATTTGAAAAACTGACCTTAGATTCGTAATTAGAGAATTTAAATATAAAAATATAAGTGTATAAAAATTATGAGAATAACTGCAGCTTTCTTTTCTTAAATTTTTAATTTTTTTCTTGTTGTAAAAGTGTTATTATCAATGCCCATATATGAGGCACTCCACGTCAAGTGATCCGGGTCTAAATTTTAATTACCTGGGATCAGGTTTAAAGTTTGCTTAAACTTTAGTCCTACTAGATACAACTTCAAGTACCAAAGATTATTAATTTATTTAAACAATTGTAAAAAGTGGAGGGAGTCAAAGTTTTAATTTTTTGCTCTACATCGTATATTTCAAAAATCTGCAATTCCTTTAAAACATAACAAAAGAATGTTTATTATATATGAATTTTTTTGCATTTTTGACGCACTTTCTAATGATATAAACAATCTTTCGAAAAAAAATTTTTTTGACCTTGAAAAAATAAAATTAAAAATAAAATTTTGATTTTTGAAAAAAAGACATCTTTTTTTAACTTTTTTATTTTTTTTTCATAAAGTTAAGATAATTTCCAAAAAAAAATATATAGGGCAAAAAGTGGGACGAGAACTTTTAAAGGGTCAAACTTAGCGATGATTTCTGCGGTGCGACATTGTCGTGCCCTGACAGTGCAGTGTTTGCTTAGTTTTGATATAGTTCTTTCTGCATCCGCTAGGTGTCGACAAGAATGTATATGAAATTCTCTTGCTGGTGAGATTGAAACTAATAAGTATAAGTATAGAAGACTCATAATTTTAAAATAATTGGTTTTCTTAGTCTTCTATACTTATACTTATTAGTTT